CGCGCGGGCTTGTGGCGGGAGAGCTGAGGCCTGGGGGAGCTCCGAGGGTGCGATGAAACGCTCATTTTGCCCCTGGGGGCGAACCGCGGGTGGAAGAGTGTTTAGCTTTTTGCAGAGTTTTCTCATAAATTATAAGAAATGTGTGGGGAAGCGGTTTAGCGAGGAGCGCGAATTCTGGGACCACCTATTGCGTGTTCATTATCATCAGGCACTGTGCTAAGCACATTGCATTTACTGTATTTTTGGATCCTTCGAATAACTCTATAAGGTAGGTATTACGCCTGTTTTGCTGAGGAGGAAGTTTGTGTTGGAGTACTTAAAAAAATAATAGTGGGTAATATTAATAGTAGCTAACAGGCGTTGATTTCATAAATTATACATTTTCTCGGGCTTAAAAATATGAATTAGGTATTACACCTTTTTAAAATAAATGACCACGGGGAGGCGCATGCGCTTTAAGACGATCAGCAGAGAGGGTGGGTCGAGAGTTTTATGAGAAGGAAATAGAGGCAGATGGGTAGGGGGCAGGCTCGGGAGGGAGGGGTCCGTGAAGAGTGGGGTAAGGAGGCGGGGTGAGGGGTGTTCACAAGCAGCTAAAGGAACTCCGGTCGGCCTGGGATGCCCAAAGCCTCCGCAGGATGAAGGAGCTCCAAGGAGGTGAAATTCGGGGGATATTGCACCTTCCTGAGAACTGGACTAAAAAGAAGCATTATCTCTTCTGTGAGTGGGAAGAAGACTGAATTTCAAAGTAGAAAATGTGGGTTCTACTTTCTAACTCTTGACTTTGGGCAAGTAACACTGCTCTTCTAAACTTTAGTTTCTTTATACATAAAAATGGCAATGTAAACAAAGAATGAATAAGTGAATTAGATTAAAACCACACTACCAGATAGGCAAAATTTTTTAAGTGTAGCAATGCCAGATATTGGTGAGAGCATGTAAAGCAGCAAGGTCCCTCATACACTGCTGGTGGAAATATAAAGGGGTACAACCCTGTTGGAATACAATGTGGCATTATCTAATAAAATATAATTTTAAAATTTGAAATTAAAAAACTTATTTATTTTTATTGATTTAATTTTAAAGATTCCGGGGTCAAAAATTTGAGAAACATTGCTTTAGAGAAACTTATGCACAGGTACACCAGGATACATATACAGGAATATTTAAAGGCAAAGCCTAACTATAGTCCCAAACTGGAAATACCCCAAATATCCATAAATTTGAGTATATTCATAAAATGGGACATTACATAGCAATGAAAACAAACAGATTATAGCAACACAGGACAACATGGGGAAATTGTATAAGCGTAATGTGACAGAAGGTAGGCAAAAATGAAATCATACAGAATATAAAGGCTGACAACAGGCAAAACTAAATGATACTATTTTCCCTAATACATCAATCCAAAGAAGCAAAGGAATGGTTATCTCAAGAGCGAGGATAATAGGGAAGGATGGGGTAATAGATGAGAAGCAATACAGGTAAGGGTGTGAAGTAGGGGCTCTTCGGTGCTGGCAATGCTATTTATTTATTTATTTATTTATTTTTACCTAGGGGTAGTTACATTTATTTCAACTTTATAATTACTTGTTAAACTCACATGCATTTCATTTAATTTTCTGTATGTATGTTATATTTCACAATAAAAGAAAGAAAAACTAATATGCTGGATGCATCAGTTAGCTAGTATCCTGGGGGGAAAATACCTCAAAACTTGTGGCTTACACAATATATATTTATTACTGCCCAGGAGACTAGAGGTCAGCTGGTGTGTCTGCTCTCAGATGGGCTCACTCATCATCTGCGATCAGATGAGGGTTGAGTGGGCAGCTTGGCTGACCTTGGCTAGGCGTACTCAGATTTCGGTGGAACAGCTGGTTATAGGCTGGTCTAGAATGGTCTTGGCTAAGGCAACTGGACTCTCCTCCATGTAGCCCATGTAGCAGCCTCTCATTCTCCAACAGGCTAGCCTGGAATTGTACACACCGTGGTTACAGGGTTCCACAAGAGAGAACACAGGCCTCAAAGCTTCTTGAGGCCTGTGTTCAGAACTGGCCCTGTCACGTCTGCCTCATTCTAGTAACCAAAACACCAGGCTAACCTAGTTTCAAGGGATAGGGAGAAGCTGCAAAGTCAGGGCTCCATTAGAGAAGAAGAACCACTAGAACAAAAAATAACAAATAGATTACATACACACACACACACACACACACACGTACAATAAAGAGTTGACTTTAGGAACTCGACGTTACTAACTGTGGTAGCTAGTTACACAGTCTACGGGAGGCTGTTACTTCTTCATCTGGTGCTGGACCCTGTAGTCTGCAGGTAAAGCAGTCAAAGAGGGAAGATGGATGCGAAGTGGAAGAAGGAGGAGAAACTGGACCTTCAAGGATGGTCTACAACCCACATTACTTTCTTACTGCCCCCACGCCTCCAGCTTCCATGACGGGTGGTCGAGAGGAGGAGCTGGTGTCCTTCATCGAGTTCAGCATGTGCCTGGCCCAGAGTCAGGGAAGCTTCAGGTGCAGAACGAGTATCACTGCTGCTTCTTCACTTCTGTCTTTCAAAATGTCTCTTGTGGACCACTAACCTCCAACTATGCAGAGAACAAAATTCTAGAAAAGAACAGTTTCAGCTGAGCTAAGTTAATACAAATCTACCACAGACACTTTGCAGAAATGGGTGGGGGTAGGGGGTTGATGATGAGGGAAGAATTTTGTTCATTTTTGCAATCAACCTACCCCACTGGATAAAAACAAGATGAATAAAACTATATTCTTGCCCTTGGATGGTTCGTAATCTAGAAAATAGAAATTTAACTTTGTTCCATATTTTTAGTTTATCTTTTCCTTGTTTTCCAGGATTATAAGAACAAGAGAGTATATAATGTGAAAAAGCTTCATAAAACACACAAAGTGATATCATCTTTATATGAGATACACATTCATACTAGGCGCTACAAAATAGTACAAGAAAAAACCATGATTTGTTTATTGAACAAAGCTTACAGCAAAAAAACAGCAATGGAAGTTTTGACCCAAACAATCTTTGAGCCTAGGTCGTCTCATACCTCTTCCTAATGTAGGTAGTGTAGTGTAGGCTTGAACAAATTACCTAACTTTTCTGATACCCAGTTTCTTCATAAAAAAGGAAGTAATTATATCTATTTTATAGGTTTGGGTGAGAGGATTGAATGACATGAGATAATATCCATATAGCACACAGCATAGTATGTTAAATGTAGTAGAGCCTCTATATAATTATCCTTCAAAAAGCTACTATAAAAAAAAAACTATATTTCTTATTACTCCTATAGATAAGGGTATACTGTTATTTCTGTATGTTATAATATTAGATCAAATTAAATAATCAGATTGGAACATAAATATAAAATGAGAGAGGTTTCAAATGACAATGTTTAGGATGAAAGGAGGAACGCTGTCATGACCTTCTTGGTGTCAGCATCATATATAGATCAGAGAAGCTCTGGGATTAAGCATCTGGTCATGTAAAGATGAAGGTGACTGTTTAGACAGCACCTGACACAAAGGGGTGGGGACCAGAAAAGTCAACACCACTGTTTCACCCACAGCCTGCATTCCTCATTATCTGAATATAAGATATTCCCCCAAACACATTGGATAGCAATTTAGGTACTAGAGTTTGCTTCTATTTCTAGTATTTATAGAGGTGGTTGGATATTCTAGTATTTTAAATGGGAAAAATAATCATGCATTCCATATCCATACAAAAAATCCAACCAATTTTCCTAAATGTCACTAACAACAATCTTCAACTTCTGTAACAATCTTTAAATGTATTTGCATGATATAAACACTTAAAATACTAACCATTCAATTATTTAACACTTAATGGGCTTATCAATGGTATGTTTGTATGCAGCTCTCGAGGACACTATACAGTATCAGATATGAATTCTGTTTCCCTTCTACACTGCACTGAAAATGTAATGTAAATAAATAAGGACATACCATGTTAAAGATACATAACACTTAAGAAACTAAAATTTTATAAAATGAGACAATTAAAGAGTAGTTACTTTTTAATTGCCCAAGTAAGGTTTGGGGGTGCGAGGGAAGGGGAACTGTGGACTTGGTTGAGGTTTGGTGATGGGTAAAATTTGAGGGAGTGTGAGCTAGTGAAAGAGTTAAGTGACTCAGTACATGTCAGTGGCATGTCCAGGTCTAAATTCAAATGGCAGACGTCTTCTCAACTTGGCAATAAAGACACAGTCAATGACTGAGAAGCCTCACCTGAAGCAATAGGACAAAAACCAAAACAGCCAATAAAACAGCTCCTCAAAATGGATAGCATTCCCTTATCATGGAGTTATATGGCTCCCAATAATAAGATTATGCATGGAAATGCATTTTTGAATGTGATACTTCTGCTCATAATCAATCATTTACAGCACCAATCATTTCCTATGAATGATCTAAATTATCTTTTAAACATTTGGCACTGAGTATTCAGAATTGTTCTTCCTCTTTATTTTCTTCTGACCAACAATGAGCAGTAAGTTGAACAAGTTTCTCTGTATGTTTTTCAGCATTTTCCCTGTGCAACTATAGCCATGTGTATATACGGCTAGAACTCTAACTGTAGCACCATCTGTAATTTTTTTGTTTTGAGATGATCACTTTCCCCAAACATTGGCAATAGGAAACTAATTGGCAGGATCGATTCTTTAGAAGACATTTTTACTTAATGTCTTAGTCTATTCAGGCTGCTATAACAAAATACCACTGACTGGTGCATATAAACAACGGAAATTTATTTCTCACAGTTCTGGGGGTTGGGAAGTCCAAGATCAAGGCACCAGCATGGTTGCCTTCTGGTGAAGGCCCTTTTTCTGGTTCACAGCCAGTGCCTTCTTGCTGTGTCTTCACATGGTGTAAGGGGTTAAAGACCTCTGTGAGGTCCCTTTTATAAGAACATTAATCCCATTCATGAGGGATCCACCTGCATGACCTAATCACTTCCCACAGGCCTCACCTCCTAATACAATCACTTTTGGAGGTTAGGATTTCAACATAGGAACTGGAGGGGAAGGATGACACAAACATATCACAGCACTTAATAATGTGAAGATGATATTTATAATGTACAACCCATGTAAACAAGGACAGCAAAGACCCATCCCACTTGGAAAAGGTCTGAACTAGGTCTGCAACGCACTCTCCTCCAGATGTGTAATCTAATCTCCGTATTTCAGCTAGAGGGTACATGCAGATGCATTATAGTGGGTTTTGATTTACAGTGAATTTGGAGAATAATTTTTTGCAGTCTTCAGATGGTGAGAAATCAGAAAAAGAGGGACACCTGCATTTTTGCCAGCTCCCACAATTGCTCCCTAGGAAAGATTTGTCTGATATCTCTGATATTTAAGATAAAGTCAAGTGGGTACATTAATTCATTATTCTTCACAGTTGCTTAATCTGTAGACACAGATGCATATCAGGGACAAAGGATACATATTCAGAGTCTTGTGAATACCCAAATCTGTGAGTACTTCTGCAGCATTTAGTATTTCCATAGCAGGCAATAAATTTGAAATTAAAAAATTGATGTGACCTCTTCAGAATCTTGCTGAGAGTGACTACCTGCTTGACAGTGAGTAAAGAACAAAGCCACAAGGAAACCTGATGTTGGCGACTCATATAAATCACATTTGTGTCTCAGGAAAGAACAGATGATCAGATGCCACTATCTTCAGAATTTCTCACCAATGGCTGAAATGGATAATACAAAATCTGTGGAAGCTAGGAATCCACTTCACTGTATTGTCAGCTCATTAGAAAGTGCTGTAGTCAGGCCATGTTGTTCCCTTCTTCAAAGAAATCTTTCAGCTTTGTAAAGTTAAGATGCAGGTTATAAACATAACATTATGGGGCAATATTTTAAATCCTCATTTGAAAAATGTTTTTGTTTTACAAAAGTGAAGTTGAAGACAAAAACACTACCTTCCTTCAGAACATCAGTTAGCGTTCTCCAAAATGCAGGAAGCTATGGGTGAAGCCTCACTTGTAAGTGAGCTGTGGCCCTGCAAAGACACTGGAGGCTTTCAGATGTCTTCTCTCCATTCAGCTCACTCATCGGCCCCACCAACATCATACTGGCCGCTAGGGGGTGCTGCTCCCTTTCTAATATTTCTGCCCAGGCACAATTGGTTCTTTTTCGTCTGGATTTTATGGTAGCACAGCAGATATAATTTAAAAAAAAACTTTGCTAAAGGCATTGGGATAAGAAAAGGGAGATAGTATTTGAAAGTGGTTAGTATATGGATCACAAAGCTTCTGGGAAGTCATGTTAGTAGATTTGGACTTCTTCTGGGGCAGTGCAGAACCATTAGAAAGTGTTAAGCATGAGAGAACCTGATTAGAGTGGTGTCGTAAAAAGAGCGTTCTAGTAGACATATAAAGGCTTCATAAGAGAGGTGAAAATACTTAAACAAGGAGACCAGCTGAAAGACTGATAAAAGATGGTGGTGACCAGAACTAAAATAGTGTGTCTGTTGAAGGCTGACTAGTACCTGTTGTGATGTCTGGAGGCTGGAAGAGGGTATGAGTCCACACAGTAGGAATGAAAATATTGGTTAGCAGTAAAGGACTAGAAGAGGGGGTGGGGACAGAACAAGAGACCGAAGGAGAGATTAAATTGATTAGACTGATTTCCCCTGAGGCTGAGAAAAGGTTTCCCTAACAGAAGCCAAGTTACTCAGCTATTCAGAGACACCTTGGTGATGCAAAAGAAACAGAAGCTGCCTAGCAGTACAGAGCAGAGAGCAAGCACTTCTTGGAGAGCTGTAAGGTGCATTCTATAAACAAGAACCTCTGTTTTCCAGGCACTGTGCTAGGTGTTGGAGTACCAAGAATTCAAGCATCCTTATTTTTATTATAACTTCCTCCTTTAAAAAATCCCCTTATAAAACAGAGAACTGTCTTGTCTTGCTCCATTATTTGGCACATAATAGGTGGTAAATAAATATTGGCTAAAGGGATGGATGAATGGAGAATAAGAATGATAATTTTTTGGATATGGAGCACCATTCAGAACCCAGCTCTTTTATGTTGTTACATACAGCAATCTTATTTTAACCATTTGAAAATATTAGGATTATATAGCAAGCCTCTTTCAAACAATTATATTTACTAGATTACCCTAATCAAACATGATTTTCTTTTCCATTTATAGGAATATCTCAGTTGGGAACAAAATTACAATGAACAGTTCCAGATGCGTGGCCCGGGCAGAAAGCAATTGGAGATGATATTAGTTCAGTTGCACTGAGCTTAACTGGCAAGGCTTACAATACACAATGTCTCATATATCATATTATATAATCAGGTAGTGAGAACTGATAACAAAACAATATCTTTTAGCTTAACATTGGCACTTGGAAAATAGCATCAGCCGCAGTCTTGCTGAATGTCTCTGGGCAATAGTCTCATTTTATTGT